TTATAAGCTTGTGATACTTCTAAAACATATGTCTATTGTTCAACCTACAGCTATCCGTAAAATAATCTAATTTTAATGACAAATGTCATGAATAGTTTCAATAATTTAATAAATTAGATCTGTGCGTGTATGATTTTTTATTTTTGTAATACTCAATTCCTTTTTATTATAACTGTCTTAAAATTGAACTTAATTCTGCACATTGACCAAAATTAAAAGTTAACTTTTTAAACAAATAAAAATATTTTATTCCTTTGATGATGGGGGCAAGTGTCAGGGCAAAAACTTAATGCAACCAATAAATTGACACTTACTTCAATTTGGGATTTTTCAAATGCTGGCTTGCTGAATTTGTAGTGTGTTAACCCCACTCACCAGTTTCTAAAATTTATCTATAATTATTATATTCAGCAACATGTTACACTTTTATCTTGAATTTTATTTTTTTATATAGTTGACATAGTTTTGCATTTGACCTACTTAGCAGTACATGAGTCAATGAACTCTGCAAATAGGAAGGGTAACATAAGAGACTCTTGACTTTTATCTCACACAACCAAGAACACATGTGATTAGCGATTATTCGTATAAATGTCTCCCAGCGGTTTCTTACATAATAATGCAATCTATTATTTAAATGTTTCTCTCAATTTATGAGCCCTCAAATGATTTAAAATTTATTTACACGTCTCAGAAATACTTTGAGCTCTGCAAACAGCAAAGCCCTATTAAAATATATTTGTAAACCAATTTTCATTATTAAATTTGGTGAGTTCTATTTGTTCTCATTATTTATTTATTTACTTGGCTGATTGACACTGCCTTGACAAAATATCCGATGCGATGCTCTGAAAAGAATTAAAACATTGTGAAAAGAACTTGGAAAGAAACAGGAAATAAAATAAGCTCTCCCCCCAAAGTTCATAGAATGGGACTGTTGTCATTTGCTTTTGAAAGGCAGACTCAAACTTCCTATCAGACTTCCGCAATTCCAGAGTGACTACATAATAAGCATTATTTTATCGATGACAATCCACATCCATTAGACAAGAAACTTTGTCCTAATGTAATGCCAGGTAGTAACTGTATATTTAATTATTAACACTGCAATCTTATATTTTTACTATAACTTCCACTGAGATCAGGGGACTTTCTACCAGATCAGCGACAATATCAAATTGATGAAGATTATTATTTCTTTCTCTGCAGGGTACTTCTGTCAAATTAAATTAGATGGGTGGTTCCAAGGGAGGGGTCCTTTCCCATTGTGCCAGACTGCTTACGAAATCCTCCCCCAAAGGAGGGAATCAAAACCTGATGCTAACATTGTTATCTATCAGGTAAGTATTTCTCTAAAATAAATGTTTAATTTAAAGTTATAACATGATCAGCAAGCTGCTGGAACAGAACCTTTTATATATTTTACAAATTGTCTTTACTGTTTTATTAATGTGTGCATGTAGATGAATACACACACACACACACACACACACACACACACACTGATACACACATTTAAGTCTCACCAATATTTGGGCAAACGTACAAAGAATTATTTTTTGTACCTGTTCTTCAGCCTTAAAACATGGGAACTCTTTCTGCCACAATATTTCCTGATAATTTGTTTTCAATGTTAACTGATGGTAATATATTTTTACTTCATCAATAACAATCTATTTATGTCTAAATGCTAAACTTGCTCTAAAGTCTAGATATGAAGTAAGACATAAAATAACATAAATTTCATATCTGGCCTTACTGATGATTTGAGAAATGCTTTTTTGAAAACGTTAACATTGTTAAAATGTTGAAGATTAAGTTAACTATAGTGATGAAATATTAAAGTTTCAGCCATTACAGACATACACTTTAAACTGTATGTCAATTTATAAAAATGATTGCAATAAACACATTTGCAAATGCTGTCTGATTTAAGTATTTAACACTCAGTGGAAAGCAATAATTACTTTTGGCTGAATAAATTAGGCTGACCAGCTTAAATATGTCACTAGTTAATATGAGAAAAGCTCCTTGGTATAGCAACTCTAAATGCATTTTTTAAACTTCTCAATAATGCACTGATTATTTCTTTAGCTTCCCAGTGCATAATAAAAATCTGAAAACTCAAATCAGCTAACTCTTCAAGGGGGAGAAATGTCAGTAGAAAGGCACTGGGCTACTAACCACTAGATAAAATAGGTAGGTAGGTAGGTAGGTAGGTAGTTGTGTGTATGTGTGTGTATGTTAGTTGTGTGTGTGTGTGTATACACACACACACACACACGCCGTAGGGAAAAAGTTCCCTGGAATTTAAGAGAATCTAAAAGAGTCTCATAAACAAAGAGAACTAAGCAATGAAAAATATGATACAAATGCAATCACAGTACTGTTCTTTCAAATATTTACCCAGCTTCTAGTTGAAGAATAATTTGTTTCATTTAGCCAGAGTCAGACTCTAAGGATTGCAGTAATCCACAGGGATTAATTAGCCCAGGAGTTTTTCAAATACAACTTTTAAAAGCACAGGATCAAAATGGAAGAAGAAAAAGAATATGCATATATTTTTACTGATCGTTAAATAATCATTAATCATTAAATATTATCATTATTGAATCATGGAGAGCATCATATAGTTTAAAGCAAAATAAGCACCCTAGATCTATCCAACAAATTTGTGATGAGGACACTATGGCAAAGTACAGTATTTTTCAGTGAATTTTACCTTCCCCAAGTTTTATACCACTATATATTTTGGGCATGCTACTGGCCATGTTAGCTGTTAAGTCTAGAAATGATTCTCTCAAAACATTTAGAAGCACCAAATTGGCCCTGCTATGGTAAATATCCTAAATATATATTCTAAACCCAGGTAAATGAGTAGATCTTAGTTCAAAGTTACACTTCTATGCATTCAACAAATATATTTGACTTCCTATAAAAAAAAAGTTGACAATTTCAGAGGAAAAGTTAAGAATAGGAGGACAAAATGTCACTGAATATTTCACATCCAAGCTTGGCCTTCATATCATCTGAAGAGTTATTATGGGATGCAGTTTCGTGGGAAACTGAGCGAGCATGGATGGAGTCAGCATCTTTCTTTCCCTGACTTTGCCATAATGATTCCTATAGGAGTTTGAAAAAGATTTATATTCAACTTCTATAAATTACTGCTACTATGCCTACTCAGTGTAAGGAAGTCTTCCACTATTTATATGTCAAAAAAGTATAGCAAATCCTACTAAGTTTTAATTTATCCATGCAACCTGGAACTCCAATTTTAATGCTCAGACATATTCTGTCACTTCACTATTTTCCTATTATAGTAAATGCAATTTAACAAATTAAGGAGTTATCCAATGCAGCCTAATGTTCATTTTATAGCAAACAGGATTTTTAGTATCCCAAAATATATTTAAATATAAAAAATACTTTATCAATAACAGTGAATATTAATTATGAAGGAAAGCAGTGAATGTTTTTAAATCTATTATTTTGAGACATAATATAATAATATTAGATTTTTAAAAGCCTTGATGTAATTAAATCTACTATGTGAGTTATGTACTCAAAAAAAAATAGAGCTGTTTGTACAAAGTGCAATTCAGTGCCTAGAAAATAGCTGAGAATAAGCCAACAATGAAAGTGAAGTTAATTACACACATCTCTCCTACTCAGTGATTCTGGAATGGAGGATGCCAATCAGGTGAAACAGGTCTGCAGACATAAACCTTTCCTTGTGGATCACAAGTGCAGGCATACTCCAGCAACAAAAATCTCACCTAGTTTGCTACTTGAGTATAATGAATGTTAAATGGAAGCTGACCACTGTAACAATACAGTTTCAAGGAACTGGGTCAAATCCAGACATTAGTCCTGTTAGACATTCAATCCTTATGCACTGCCCCTTCCCCTCCACCATTTTGTACTAGTTAGCATGCTAACAAGAGACAGTCTGAAACAAGGAACCTACTTTTAGCCATGTATAGTAGTTCTAAATACAATAATATCCTCAATCCAGATTGACTCTTCCATGGCCTTGGAGCTCTGTTATTCCCTTCACATAAGGCAAACTGAACAATAAACAAGATGCAGTTTAGGCATCCATAGTCAAACCTTAATCCTAATAGAACTACCCAACTAACTGCTCAATCGTTTCAACAGCTTTACGTACAATTACCAGCAATCCTCCTTTAGCCTCATTAAGCAACCATCCACAGCGATGATGGTGCTGAAGAAGTAAATTTATGATCAATCGTTTCATTTACAACCATCATGAGTCTGTAAAGCAAAGGAAATCTGAAGTAAGATCATAAGCAAAGGGATGGCTTCATTTAGTGACCACTTATCATTTAAGCTGACAGTCCCAACTGGCTAAACGAGGACCACCTATATATATCTTTGAATCAATCCATGGCCAAAAACCATTTCACCACATTAAACAGCTGGTGGAATTCTGTTCTTGCTTTTAGATCTTTTTGTTTTGTTTTGTTTTTAAAAAAAACATAACCAACACTAAAGAACCTTTAGTATGTATAGGTCATCCTCCACTTACAACAGTTCATTTAGTGACCATTTGAAGTTACAGCATCACTGAAAAAAGTGACTTATGACCATTTTTCATGCTTATGTCCATTGCAGCATCACTGTGGTCATGTGATCAAAATTCAGACAACTCACAACTGATTCATATTTATGATGGTTGCAGTGTGCCCGGATCAAATGATCAACAGTTGTGACCCTCTGACAAGCAAAGTCAATGGATAAATCAGATTCACTTAACAACTGCATTACTAACTTATCAACTGGTGATTCACTTAACAACTGCAGCAAGAAAGGTCATCAAATGGGACAAGACTCACTTAACAAAATGTCTCACTTAGCAGCATAAATTTTGGACTCAACTGTGGTCGTAAGTCGAGGACTACCTGTATAAAGTTTTACAAGGAAGAAAACAAAATGAAGACTTGTGAATTAAAATGCAGCTACCTACAGATACTTACATGGGGATGGCTCATGTATCCCTTCTTCAGAGCTGTCCTCAGGACCCTCTTCACCTATTCCAGAGGTAACCGAATCTTCTTGAGCAGAAGCAGAACTTGGTGTACTCGGTGCACTGACAGATCCAGAATCACCGTCCTCACTATTGGAACCGTATCTATCATGTTGAACTACCGATCCACCTTCACTGCAGCTTCGGCGCTCTTTCCTGTGGACTCGGGAATGAAGCACCATTTGGTGATATGTGCGGAAAATCTTGCCACACTCAAAGCACTCGGTGGACTTGTTCTGTGATACCCTTCTGCTTTGACGTGAGGATGGTCTGTATTCTAAGTCATCTGGATCAAGGATGCAGTTGTCCCCTGCTTGTGCATTATTGCTTTTCTCTGAACGGCCACCAGTGCAATTCTTCTTCTTTGGATTACTGGAAGAGTTGGATGCATCTTGCTCGTGCTTGCGTTTCTCTTGACTAACAAGGATATATTCCCTTTTGTCCCTGTCATATGTGACATCAGCATCTGCCAGAACTTCATCCCATCCTAAATACTTAACGTACTCAGAAGGCTCTGCAACTTTCCCTTTGGTAGCCAAGTGCCAAGCTTGGTAACTGTTGACTGGATCCAGCTCAGCTACTCTTCTACCTGACTGGCCCCTTGAAACACCTTCTATCCATACAGACGGCCTCAAGTTCAGATATTGGAAGAAAAACTGTTTTGCTATAGATGAATCCAAATCTCCATCTATTAGTCTCTCTTCTCTGGGATCACTGCAAATCCCTTGAGACTTACAATGTACAGAATTATGTGCTTTTAGGCTCTCCATATTTGTAAACAGGTTTCCACACTTGGTACAAACTTCATAAAGGGATAATCCAGTCACAATAGTCTCTTCTTGAATGACATTGTTGATAGTGGCAATGGGCTCTAAATCACTTTTGGGTTTGTTTTTACTCCCAGCTTTTGGGCCATGAGATTTCATGTGGTTTTTAAGGAACCAGGGCTCTTTAAATTTCCGGCCACAAATGTGGCACCCATGGTCAAATGACCCTCGATGCTTCTTCATGTGAGCTTTGAGGAACCATGTTTGACTAAAGGCTTGTCCACAGACTTCACAAGGAAATTCTCCAGCATTGGACTCAGACTTGCAGTTCTCGGGGTAGGCTTCCCCATTTGGAATTTGAGTCGTAATATGGTCTCTCTCTATGTGGTTTAAAAGGGTCTCCTGTCTTAGGGTCATGTAATTACACAGCCTACATTTGAAAGGCTTATGCACTTGGTGTATGTGTTGCTCCAACTCTTTCTTCCCTTCAAATTTGCTTTTACAGAAGTTGCACTGAACAGTACATAGTTTAACATCATCGGCCAATGCCTCTTTTCTGCTGCTTCTGAGCAAGATCTTGCTATCCTCTGTGGGAACTGTTCCATTCAATATTTTGTTGCAAGCAGAGGTGCTTTTGGTAGGGCTGGTGCAACCATCAAAGCCTTCGAAGACCCTCATCTCATTAAGCTGAGCCTCTCCCACAGTCTCCACATCATTCCTCTGGCTTATGGTGCCTGTTCGGTGACCCCGAATATGGATCTTTAAGTTGCCCTTTTGGGAAGCTCTGTGATCACAGTAAGGGCACTTATAGGGCTTCTCTCCAGTGTGCTTCCTCATGTGTTGTGACAGTGAGCTCTGGAAGGGAAAACTCTTGCCACATATGCAGCAGCTGTGCAACACGGATTTGTCTGCATCCACATCATTCTTATTCATCCTGTGAGGACTGGAGGCTCTTCGCAATTCCATGTTTGCACCTACACTACAATCCATCTGTATTCCAACAACATCAGTCAACAGGTAAAAGCCCTGCCCAGGAGTGGAAAATTATGTTGAAATTTCTATTGGGATGGGGATGTTTCTCACCAAGCTTCTATCTCTTCATTCCTATATTCAAACTGCTTCTCAGCTTGAGAGCATTCCGGATATAAGCATTCATTGATGTTTCTGAGTCAAATGGCAAACAAAACCTGCAACCAAAACAAAAGCACAACACCTCATTACTAAATGCAAAAGCATTTCATTTGAAGCACATTCACAACATTCTTCTTTGTGACAGGCCTCTGTTAAAGTTTTCTTTTCATTTAAATCAAACTCTTGTATTAAATTTAACTTGGATGATATTATAATTCAGAAAACCCAGTAGGATATTTCATAAGCTCAGTAAAATAACATAAACAAACCTACGAAATAGTAGTTTCAGTTACTGGGATACAGAGTATGCATGTAATTGGTATGTGCTAAAAATAAGAACATCAATCTCACAAACAGTTAAATTTGTCTTTCCAAACCAAAAAATAGTGTGCATGTAGTTTCAACTTAATAAGCCCTTTCTTGAAGTAACTGTAATATTTTAAGTCTGTGGTTTTATACACATGTATAATTTCATGAAAAACAGCCAAAATTTTGTCTGTCTAGAGATAAAGGATTTCTGTAGGACCCAGTAGACTATCCTTATTAAAAATGTTTTCTTAAATATGCAGACATACAGAAAAGGATGCATCTTATTTTAATTAAATAAAATTCCTATAAACAAGCCCATTAAATTAACACTACTATTTTATCTTAGTTGATTGCTAATATCCTTGTTAATGTAAATAAAATATAGGAATGTGTTCACAATTTTGCTACATTAAAAGCTTTAGAAAAACTCATTTTTACAGGTTAGAGGAACATCTTCATATTTTCTGTAGTACCTATTCAAAATTAGATGCTGTTCTTTCTGCCCTGTAAATAAATGGTTGATACATGCATATATACCCTCTTTTATATACAGAATAAATCTTTCTACTTGTTTATTACAAGTGCTTCATGTTTAAAGGAAAAACACCTTTTTTTAATCTACCTTGCTTTTTAACAAAAAAAAAATAATCTTGTCTCTCTGTTGGTAAAGATGCATCTTATTTGCAGAGTATGGATCCAATCGTTATATTTGTATACCTAATACTTCAAAAGGAGGATTCACATTTCTGCTTCGTGGTATCTGTATTTCTGCCCCATCTAATTTTAATTTTCCTCTCAGAAAGCATGTGCACAAGATGGATTTTATTTAAAACATCTCCCCAAAGCGATTATTCCTGAAGTATATTAACCAATTTATATGAACAGCATGGTAGATTTAAAACATTTTAAGACTAGGAATAGAGGGATCTAGTTCTGTGAATCAGTAATGGAAATGCGTTCTGGTCTGTGGCCATAATTCAAATCAAACCTTTATTAGAGCCTTCAGGTCAGAAAGCAGAACTATATAAACATGTAATTATTATTTTAAAAACATATAAAATACAATAGAAGTATACAAAATACATTATTATAGAAACTGTAATACAGTTAGCAGTGGCAATCATGAAAATTCTTGCTACACTTCAACTGTATGTAGGAAGGATGAAACAAACAGTAGCAAAAAAAAAAAAAATCCGGCAACTTGGAAAGATGTTAGAATCCTGGTGAAATAGAAGCATGGGCAGCTAGACATTGTGCTGTCCACCAGGGTGGTTCTTTAAAATGGGATAAATATGTATCTTCCTTGATTCCGGATAGAGAGCAACAAAGGAGCATATGGCTTGTTCCACAGGGACATCTCCACCATGTACATAAGCACTGCTGAAAAAGGATGTTTTTATATCACTCCCAAAGAATTGCAGAGGGTAATCAAGAGAATTGCAGAACCTAACCAAGAGAATTGCAGGATTAGAATTAAAGAGAGATAAGAGAATAAAGCAATTTGAGAAGAATTTATAATCTGTAAAGTTGGATACTAGGCTTAAACCAGTTGTAAAGTTAGTATCCCAGTTTCATTGCTGAAGATAACTCCTGGCATTTTCAAATCCTAATGGACAGAGGCTTTCCAAAGGAAGATTAAGGACAAGTTTGGAGTTAGCTTTTGTTAACCAGGTTGATTTAAAAAGGTATCTGAGAACCAATAGAACCAGACCCATGGGGGGGGGGGGGGGAATTGATTTCAATCAGAAATGAGGACTATTGCTTCTCAGCCATTGGGCTAACATCAGGTGTAAGGTGGGCCTAATAATAAATATTTCATTTGATTTGGCAACAGAGAATGCTATTTGCAAGTATACTTTGACTAAATTGTTAATAATGTACTCTTTTGTTGATATTAGTGTGCTGTCGTGGTATTTTGCCCTTCACAGCTCAATTCCATGCCATTAAAGGCCATGAGCAATGAATCATCTATATCTATTATCACTGTGACAAATCCTATCTTCTCTCTTTATAACCAGCTCATAATGCATACCAATGGTTTGTGTAAATACAGGAATTCTCAGGCAACACTACTGTTCGTTAACCAAAGAAGGTGTATGCAGAATTAATTGCTAAGCTAGGGATACATAGCATACATAAGTTATTGAATTCCAATTCTGTTAAGATCTAGCCAGAATAGAAAAGATGAACCAAGCTGGTTGAGAATTTTGGCAGTTATCTCCACACTTCAACATCACCAGTTTAGAGGCAACAGTTATAAAACTAAATTATACTTTTATTTTAGACAAGTAATTATTATATCTATTCCACTTCATGTGCTTCAAAGTAATGTTATATATAAAATCCCTTAAGAAAATAAGCTTTCACTTCTTTAACAGCAGTTTATCTTATAATTAAGACTTTTCAGATAAGAAATGATTCAAAGAGGTTTGTACAAGGAAACATGTTTTTTTAAATATTCAATTCCTATCCTTCAAGGATAACACAACTGTTTTGTAACAGCAGAGCATTTGGGAGACATTAGGGTAGCAAGATGAACCGGGGAGGGGAAAACAGCCCTACTTTAAATAGTAAGGAGATCCTTGACTTTTATAGGAAATCCCAGCAGGATACGTCCTTCAGAGTGAATATAGAAATTAGGGGAAAGTTAGCAGGATTTTGCCTTGATTTTATTCCCTCAAGAGCAATAGAAGATGATAAAATTTTGCCAAGTCTTTGTTTTTAACTAGAGGTAAAAAAGGCACTTGCACAATAATATTCTGCACCATTTCAGGATCAGCTCCAAAACAGCCTGATCTCAGAATCCAGTGTGAGCTGAGTCAATTAATTTCTGACTCTGCATTTTCATTTGAATTGATGCAGTTTTGCAAATCTTATAGGTGGCCTATTTTTCAAGGGCTGGGAACTTTAGCCTCATCCTGTCTCCAGGATCCTAGCCTCCAGAAATGCTAAAACGGCAGTTTGTTTTATTCTGAGCAAAGAGATGTCTGCTTCTTTTTTGTGTTCTGGAAGGCATTATTTTCAGATATGCAACTGTTAACACTGCAGATTTACTTTGAGATTCTTTGCCCACACCATTTGCTTTCTCTCCCTCCTTCTCCTGAGTTAATGATGGTATTAAAAACGGCTCCAAAATTTCTGAGAAAATAATTAGGCGCTTCTGAAACAGCACTACCAATAATAACCTTCATGGAGAGACACACCTATAAGGATATATTAAGCAAATACAGATCTCGCCAGTGAGAAATAGAGAAGATTCACAGGACAGAAAACAAGGGAAAGCATGGAGCAAAAAAATGTGAACATTTTTTTAAAAGGAATTTTACTAAAAGGTTCATTCTTGCATGGTTTTACAAGATATATAGAGAAACATAGCCCTGTCACCCACTCAGTACATATTTTGTGCTTTAGTATACTGGTCATGTTTGTCTTCACAGAGACAAAGAAATGTATTCTATGGGTTACACTGTAGCACTATAAGGCATGAATTAAAATACATCATTAACATCCTGATCCAGCTTATCTTACTACCAAAACAAAGAAACTATTATTTGAGCAAATGGGAGGGGGAAAGGAGCAAGTCCATCACAATAATGAAGAGCTCCTTGCCCTAAAAACTGTTCTGTTACAAGATCAACAATTATAGGCTTATATTCTACAGATTTGGATCCCAAATGGCTGCATGAAGTGATGCATTCTCTAATGGGAGAGTAAGTACCATTGATGACTAGGCCTTGGGGCTTCTGCTGTTCTCAGACCAATCAATAATCCATTATGTCCAAACTACATTTCCACTTCAATATAAAAAAAATAAAAGGGTAGCCAGTCTTAGCAGTTAACCCATGGACTATAAAACAACAGTAATAAATAATAACAACCACCACATAAGACACATGAAATCTCAAGACTGAAATAATTATTTACGTGTATAATATTGAAAAACTATTCACACCACCATTTTTACCATATTCCTTCTTCTCTGGAACCTTTTGTACATATATACTTCACATACACAAACAGACATAGACACACAAACACACACACACACACAGAGAGAGAGAGAGAGAGAGAGAGAGAGAGACTGCACACAAATATGCACTCATAACTCTCTGATTAGATGAAATGCTACATTCATAATTAACCTCTTCAGAACAAAGGAAAAACACATCCCATCTTCAATAGATAAAATATAATTCTTTGAAGTGCATTGTTTTTCTGAACAAGAAAAAAAGCTTAATTTATTTTTATGTATCATGATTTTTATTACTATAACTAAGGGTCTCAAAGGATGGGAATGGCCTGGGCCTTTTTGGATTTACAAAACAGCCTGAGAAGGTTAAGAACAGAACATATGGAAATTTTATTAGGGATATTTAATATATCATATATCTTAGAATGATGGTGAGATTGCTTGATATACTGACACTAAATCTGGCTGGAATACACATTTGGCTATATTTAGGAGAGACTCCTGGAAATTTATGGACTAAATCTGGATACAACCCACTATAAATCTGGAATAAGATAATGCTAAGCTTCAGCAGCTACGGGTAACTTTAATAAAGTTCGAGGTATATTATATTATTCACTCCAACCAACTTAATTGAAATAGTTCTACGTAGATAAAAAAATAAGTTATCAGCATATCCTAAATACATTACAATACAAACACTTGTTACAGATGTTATTCCTCATGTTCAGCAATTAATAACCCCACAGAAACAATACCCATCATTCATAACAAAGA